GGACAACCTGTTGTTCTCCTAAATCCGTCATTGGCATTATTTTATTTAGAAGATTTATTCATAATTCTTAAAAGAGACACTCAAGACACCAACAATCATACTGTTTTGGTTCACATTCTGCATCTGTTGCTGCACAGTTTTTCACAAACCCTCTCATAATAAAGCCATGTCTTTTTGTTTCCTGCTGCTACTAGGCAAGAAAATAACTGGCTGCAATCCAGAAGATGAGCATTAAAACAGAAGCTAAGGTTTCCTGTTGTTGATATTTAATGACTTTTGTGTAAAAGTCTCTGCCTTCAACAGCTGATTCATAATACAGTACTAATCAAGTAAATGATTATCATGAAGTTGGGCTCCATATAATAAACAATAATTTATTGGTTCTTTCATCCATTTTCAAGCTGCTTAGAATCCTTTGCAAGAAATCTAAGAATATTTTTAAGTAGATGTATTTTTATGCACAATTTAATTCACTAAACTACAACAGAGGTAAATTGATGGATGTTATTCATAAGTCAGTAAGCATTTAAAAGTTATACAGAAGTGTGGAAAATGCAGAATGAGTAGAAGTAACCTTGTCCAAAGCGGAAATCCTTGGTCCTCACTTGCACACAAGATTTCCATTGGTCTCTATGAAATATTCACATGAATGTGGGACTCTTTCTGCTCCCACAGGAGAAAACAATAAAACTCTACCCTGTTTGTAGACTGTTGGACTTTAACCTAGGAACCTGAACTTTAAATGTATTTTATGCAAATCAAATTTAACCCTCAGAGCACATTTGATTGTAGCCCTTCAGAGCACATTTGATTGTAGAATCCACTTAGAATTAGATATACAAGATATATAACATAATCTGACAATTGTGAAAATATCTGCTTTTAGCCAGACAAAGGGCAAAAAATGCTCCATGCAATTTTTCAGTGAACCATGATGCCAAGAGACATAAGTAACATACTTTGGTTTGTGTGCAGTTTGGCCTCATTTGTAGTGATGGCAGGCACTAGAATTCTCAGTGAGTTCAGGAATTACAAGATATATAAATATAATCTCAACCCCTCAAGGTACTGGATTTTCCATAGGTTCAGAAAATAATGTGGAACTCATTCAGTGCAAACCCATATGGATGACAGTTAAACTGAGTACATACTGACATGCAGATTTATGTTAAATAAGATCCTTGATTTTGTAGTACCTTAAATATGAATAAATTTTATTTGGCATCAAGTTTAATGGACTGCAGCCCACTCTTCAGATCTATGATCCCTAACACGCAGAAGTCATCTACAGTCCATAAGAGCTTATGGCAAAAAGCATGTGTTAGCCTTTAAGTTGTCAAAAGATGTATTCACTTTTCCTGTTTGTTTTGCTTTATCTTCCTGAAACAAATTAATATGGCTACCCTCGCACATTAAGGAAATTTCTATACTATAAAGCACAAGTGACTTAAATATCTATTAGTAGTAGTGATCAAGTTTTGCTTGAACATGTGAGGCATTGTATTTTAAATATACGTACTGTACATATATTTTAATAAGTATATGATGATGCCTTTCAAAGCAGCAAAAATAGTAATTTGACCCAGATCCATTAAGCAAAACAATGGACACTGTTTTACAGATACACACATATATACATATTTATAGTATTCATTACAGAGTAAAAATAATTGAGACTATATAAATGGGGGTAAAGGTCTTTTGGACATATCACCAATATACCAATTTTTTTTAGTTAGGAAAAGAACTATGTACCATATACAGTGAAACTAACAAGGGGCACTTTGTTCAAAGCGTAAATTGGTCATTCAAAGCTCAGATGCAGCTGGACAGTGGCTCCAGATAATCCCTTATTCTCTGCTGTGCTAGCTAGGGCTATGGGACCTGCAGACCAACATCTACAAGGACACAGGTTGTCCACTCCTGTATGAAACCAACAATTAAATCTTGCAACCGTTATTAGAAGTATATACAAGCCACTTCACAAATGTATTTAAATAGAAAAATAAATAATCCACAAAATTAGATATCTGAAATAATTTTAGGATGGCAGAACTAGTAGGGACCACATGGATCATCAAGTCCAGCTCTTGTCAAGGAAGCACAGTGGGAAATTGAATTCCCAACTGCTGGTTCCATAACGGGATATCTTTTTATTTTTGTACTAGGAACTCCAGTCAGATCTATATAATTAGGATGCACACCCTTAAGTCTGCAATCCTCCACTTAACATATGAAAACCCAATGAACTCAGTGGACCTTACTTTTATGTGGCCATATACAGAACAACACTAAAAATACCTTATCCATTCAGAATAATGTATATACATAATTTCTTGCAATACAATTTTTGAGATTTACAGAATGCAGCTGAAAGCAGTTGGTGTTTATCTTAAAGTATAAGCAAATGATCAACTTTTGTACAAGGAATTCCACCATTCCTCAAGCAAATACAAAATTACTACATTACATCTGAGATAATTACTGTATACTAATCCATACCAGTGGTAGCTGCTTGTGAATTATTTCTTTCAGGTCTTCCAGTCCTCTGGGGAGAAGGCAACTTGACCTGAACAGCACTTATTTAATTCTTTGGAAACAGTATTCTCAGTGCTACTGCACAAGATGTTTTTCTCATTGCGTTAGGAATGAAAACAATCCACAGAGAGCTATGACTTTGAACGTATGAGTCAAGCAGCCAGATATTCCTTCTCCATATAAACAAAATAGATCAAGAAATGGAACATGCCTGGACAACAGTCAGTTCCTAATGAAAATGCATATTAACCATATGAAATTTTATTTTTGAATATATTGTTACTCTCTTCGCTTTCTTTTCAACTACGTTAGTTTTCTACAAAATTGATTATGCAGGAGAACCCTCCAAAACTTAAGCAACCATTAATCAAGATGACAGTGCTTCTCAAGTACTTTCTGCTCTAATGCAAAATTAAGAATGGAAGAAAAAAAAACCCCGAACTCCTGCACACCCAGTGGTGGCTCCATAATACTGTATAACTGAAATGCACGTTGTGAGCCTTCATGGTTTTTCTCAGTAAGATGAAACCAGTATTTAACATTACCTGAATCTTCTTGGAGAAGCTAAATAATCTTTAATATTTCAAAACTTCTCAAAGGGTTTGGGATTCCACATTTCATTATATAAATATCCAAGTAAGGCATCAATGTCAATACTTATGTAGCACCTCGAGGTAATGGGACTGGGTCCACACTGAGTTGGCCACACTTTAATTCTATTTAAATCAATGAGGCAAATTAACAGCTGGTATGAGTTTTTATTCTGTTGTTGCTATCTCTGTTTTCATTGATATTAACTAACAACATTTGATATTTTAGGATATAAAAATAATTATGGCTAATTGTCTTTTTATTATGTATTACATTTGTAGATACCCAGTGTCATGTAGTGCAGCGGTCCCCAACTTTTCTGGGACTGCGGACCGGCTAAGCCTCTGAGGAAGGCAGGGCACCACCCAGTGCTCACGCGGGTGCTGGTGCACGCTCTTGGGCACATTCGCGAAGCAGTGGGGAGCACACGTGCCCACCATCTCCAGTGTGAGCACTCACCCACCCCTTTGCACATGCGCAGGAGCACCTGCACACCCGCCTGCCTGTGCACCCGCACTCGGTGGGGGGGCGCTCATGCTGGCGGTGGCACACATGCACAAAGCAGCTGTGGGGAGGGGAGTGTGTGCGGGGGGCGGGAGGTCCGTCTCCATGGCCTGGTCCGGCTCAGGCCACGGATTGGCACTGGGCTGCAGACCAGGGGTTGATGACATCTGATGTAGTAGACAGAATGATAGACTAGGACTCAAGAGGCCTAAGGCTGGAATCAGTCATGGACACTCACTGTGGGTGTGGAACAGGTAAAAGCACTTTTTAAATGTCCTGTAAGTTAGTGGCACAATTACATCTGTATTCTCTTCTTTTAGTGAACTTTTTCCCTCCCAGAACAGAATAAGCAACAAACCTTGTGCTGAGCCCCTTGCCCATTCCCCTCAGTACAGACAACTGCATTTGTATATCTGTGGCTTGTGCCCCATATTTTCAGAGTTAAATCTGTAAATTTTGTGAAGGGAGTAATTACAACTCTGTTATGTCCAATACTTTGTATGGTCTAAAATGGTACAATATATGTACCAATCTATACTGTTGTTGATATATGGTTTCATATATAGAACATTTCTGAAAAGTTCTTAAATTTAAATGGAGCCATACTGAATATAAAATGCCTGCAGTGTAGGCAAGCATGTGGTTCTATTTATTATTCTAAATTGAAATAAGTCTCCATTTAGTTTACAACTTGCTCAGTCTCTACATGTAAACACTGAAGTTAACCGCATGCTTGCATTTAGGAACACATTCAAGCAACACTTCTGTTTTCTGTAGCTGTAATTAGCTATAGGAGATGACATGAGTAACACTGAGATGAGAGCACAGGTTATAAATTGTAAGGAATTATTACAGCACAAACATTTAAAACAGTCACAGGAATTAAAAAGAAGGGAAAGTTTGATAACAAAAACTGAACAATCAGCACATAAACATCCCATTTAACTTCCATCTGATTCCCAAGATTTGCCATCACACAAAGCTTTTTTCTAAGAACAAAGATATACTGAAGTGGGCTATAGAACACAAGAGTTGATACCAAAAAACGGGTTATTCTTTAAGGTACCACAAGACCCCTTGTTTTTCTTTATATCTGCCATTTTTCTTTTTCTCTTGTTCGTTTTCTTTTTCAAACACTGGAACACATTTTCTCTTGTGTTTAAAATTCTGCATGCCAAATGTTAAAGCCAAGTTATAAACTCATCGAAAACAGGATTTATAGTGGAAATCAAGCACTACATAATCACCAGATATTTGTGCACTTTTAAGTTCTGACCCTAGAGTTTTTTTGGGGGGGACACTTATCAGAATTTCATATTAGGGTATAAGGGCTATAATAACATAGCAGCCAAAGAAACCACAGCAACCCAGGTTAATTAAGAGTTTACATTATAAAACTTTACCTCACTGTTAAACAATGCCATTACTCGAGTCATCGTTTTCAGAAGCAGAGTCAGGGCTGCCAAAACAAACCACTAGCCCTGCACAGCTGTAGGGAATAATTCCTGCCCACCACTAGATCACTTCTTTGAAACCACTGCTCCAACATAACCATGAATTTTAAACTGCATATTGATGTAGCACCAAATGTTAAGTTCAGTGTAAGTTCTCAAGAATGCCACAATAGTTACAATCTAGTCAAGACTTGCAATTCATTGTTTGGTCTAGGGTACAGCAATTCCAAAGAGGCCATGGCCACGATGATTAAAACATTTGTACGAACACAGAAGTGCCCTGATAGGTAAGAGATCCAAGTTTCTGCTAGTCTTCATTCGCTTTAAAAAAAGAAAAAGAAAAGAAAAACATTATATTACATTGAGATTACAGCACTTTACTGAATATACTTCTTTTTATACACTGTTTACAGACAACAAACTGAGGACTCCTTACAAACCTTCCTTGTAATATTCAATATAATAACATTAACACTCAAATGTGTTTGGACCAAATGAGCAACAAAGAGTTGGCAGAACTAATACTTAAATTAAGAATGTTTCTGTCAGCTTCACAACTGCCCTAACACAGCCTTGACTCGTTATTTATCACTAATTAGCAACAACTTCAGCACATGGATAGAGCCTACATGGGAAACCTGCATCTGTGAAGAGCAATCCAGTGCTACTCAGTCTGGTGGGGAAAGTGGGCTAGCAGCCATGCAAGGAAAGTTAATTTATTGAGTGGCATCCAAAAATTAATAATTGAAGAAACAGAACAGTGAAAGTGAAAATCAAGATGTCATAGTGCTGTAGATGAGGTGTTAGAAAATAGCATCAGACTTGCCACTTCAACTCAAGTCTCTAGAAAGGGCATCATGCATTTGTCCTTTCAGAGACCTGTCCCTGGAGAAATATCAAATTATACTGTGAAGCATAGTAGCAGTTTTGTGTAGAGACTCTGAAGTTCCATGATCTTATGTCCTCAACACAGAGACAAAACTTAGTCATTCTATATGTGTGTGGTGTGCATACGCACACACACATACACTACATAAACAGAAATATGTAGACGTTGTGTCACCATGGCATCAAAACTGGCTGAGTGACAACATATGCTTCTGGTTCAGGCATTTGGACACAGAGAAAGGAGAGATACTGTGTTGTTCATACCATAATTAAACTGTAATCAGGGTTTACAAAAAAAGTCTCCCCACTCTTAGAGGGAAACACTCCTCTCCTTTCTATTGTTACTTTCTCCATGTGGAAAGTAATATACTATATTGTTTCTGCAGAAGAAAATGTGTATTCTTACTCATAGACAGAACCTACATATAGCTACGAAAATCTCATTTGCATATACATTTCTTTCCATATAATTTGGAATTGACAAATGTGCAGCTCTGTCTATACACCGTGGCAAGATCCAAAAATTAAATGGAATAGAGTTTAAAATGGCAATATTATAAAATCACTATCAAGTGATGAAAATTATAAATACCTTGGAATACTAGAAGCAGGCAACATTATGCGCACAAAAGTTAAAGAACTGACAAAAAGATAATATATCAAGAGACTGTGGACAATCTTAAAATCAAAATTAAATGGGGGAAATATGATCAAAGCCATAAACATATTAGATACCCAGGTGGAATAATAGGTTGGACTCAAAATGAACTAGAAGAATTGGATTTAAAAACACGGAAACAAATGAACATGTATCACACACTACATCCAAAAAGCAATGTGGACAGATTATATTTACCATGAAAAATCAGAGGGCGTGGATTACTGCAAATACAGGAGGTAGGAGAGAAAGAAAAAGGAAGCCTAAATGATTATATCAGTACAAGCAGAGAAAAATTACTGAAAGCAGTGAAAATGGAAAATATTTTGAAAACAACAGAAACAAAGGATCAATATAAGAAACAATAATTTTAAAAGAACTTAAACAGCTGAGGGAAAAACCCCTACATGGACAACACCTGAGAAATATTGATGGAAAGCATGATCATAATTCAACATGGACATGGCTAGAACTGGGGACTCTTAAGAAAGAAACTGAAGGCTTGATTTTTGCTGCACAAGAACAAGCACTCCAAACCAACATGATGAAAGCTAAGAATCAAGGAGTTCGTGCTAACAGCAAATGTCGACTCTGCCAAGAAAAAAATGAAACTGTGTCACATCTCATCTGCAAATATCCAAAGATTGCAGAAACAGATTACAAAGTTAGACATGACAGATTGGTAAAGTTAGTGCACTGGTCATTATGCAAAAAATATAACTTTTCCGGCCTCCAAAAACTCATGGGAACATCAGGTAGAGAAGGTGTCAGAAAATGAGGAAATCAAGATCTTGTGGAATTTCCGGATTCAAATGGACAGACACCGGACATAGTAGTAATAGAATGAAAAAATATCCAGATGATTGACATTGCTATTCCAGGGGATGCCAGAGTTGAAAATAAAGAAATGGAAAAAGTAACAAAGTACAGAGACCTGGCAATCTCGCCTTTGGAAGAAACACACTTCAGTGGTCCTCGTAGTCATTGGGGTTTTGGGAACAATATTAAGAAATTTCACACAGCACTATTAGCAGTTGCAGATCTCAGAAATCACACCAGCAGAGCTACAAAAATGGCAATATTAGTAGTAGTAGTAGAAGAAGAGCATACATACTGCATCGATATTTAACATATACTTAGGTTTTTGGTTAAAACTTGTATCTGTTATATAATACCAGTCAATGGTTTTATAATTTTAACTGTGCCTGGTGTTCTTCTTCTTCTTCTTCTTCTTCTTCTTCTTCTTCTTCTTCTACTACTACTACTACTACTACTA